TGATTGCACCAGCCTGTGACTGGCCACACTGGCATTGGTCAATGGGAAACTCAGATTTTGCATCTTCTCTGGCCAAGTCTGTCGTGCTGGGTACTGATAGCCAGGCTGTGCAGAGCTACTTTTAGGGATAAAATTGGATAATGGTGAATAGACAGGAATTGTTGGTGATTGCTCAAGATTTATATTAGGATTTTCCCCCATTCATCTTCCCATTTGGGAAAGTGTATTCCCCAAAGCTGATGGAGACAATGTGGTGCCTTCCACAACTTCTGTGTTAGAATTCAAAATATGGGGAAGATGAGTGATTGGGACAGGAGGTTTTTATGGAGCCCTACACAGTTTGTGCTCACTGTCATCTGGAGAAGGTGCTGTTGATTTTCTGCTTATTCTCTGAGATTTATAAGAAGGAAAAATGTCTGCTGTAGCCCAGTGTTACACAAGCAACACAATACAAAGTAAACATCAGCTTGGATCAGGACAGTATGAGGTTCCCTGAGTCCATGAGGACCAGTAAGATTAGTTACCAATATCTGCAAACTATTATTAGAGATGAAACTCAGAAAATTCACTGCCCCTGCCTGTTGGCAGATGGAGGATGTGTGGCAGTAGAGGGACAGAGACAGGACAGGGATAAGCCATCAGCTGCTCTGCTGATGGGAGCCACCACCCCACATACCCTCACTTCTGTACAGTTACTGCACTCACTGTGGCAGTGTCCCATGCAAATGTTTCAAAGGCTGGTGGAACGAAAAACACCCCCAAGTATTTGACAAGCACAGAGGTACAGGGAGGAATGGAAAATTCTTACTAATATATCAGGATGCCACAAATCATGCAACTATTGAAAAGTGGGGGGGAGGGGGGGGGCAAGCTGCAAAAGTGATTAGTATCATACAGAGTATGAGGCTATTTAACTGTTAGATTCAGATTTCCATACAGTTCAAAGGCTGCTAAGCATCTGTTTGGCCATGACTATGTTGTTTTCTGATAAGGATATCAGTATTTGAAGTATTTGAAGAAAGATTAAGGAAATGTAATAGCAAGATCCTACTTTACATCTTCTACTACAATTCTGGGCAGCTAATGAGAGGAGAGAGCCCCAGTCTATCTGAATACATAGTGCACCATGTAGATGAAACATATACTTAATTGGCAGGTGAGAGACAACACAAAACATCCCCAAGCAGCTAAATTTCCTTCTAAAATTTCCAAACAATGCAAAATCAGAACAGCTTAGGCATGCTCTGTCCTTTCCCCAGCTTTCTGCCCATTGCAAGGACTTTCTATTTAAGACCATTCACATCCCAGTTCAGCCAGGGCTGTCTGTGTTCCTGTATCAGCAATGTGCCAGTGTATGGCTTGAGCTTTAAGCAATTAAAAGTTTAAGAGGTTTGTGATATGGAAGGCAAGTTCCTAAATCAAATAAAAATATTCTTCTTTTGCTTCAGACTGTACAATAATTTGTTCCAAATTTCATGCTCTCCATTGGTCCAGTTTACACAAACTCACAGTAATTAGCTGCAGAGATTATTTTAAATTTACAAAAGCAATCATTCTCTGTGATGGCTTGATGCTATGCCCAACTCCCTCTGAATAGACTTTAATGACACAGTAACCATGGTTACAGTATATAAAATATGCAGCCATGAAATAGGGAAATGTAACAGTGTAATATAATTTTCTCTGGAAAATAAAGGGGTTTGGCATATTTGCCTTAATTAGGACATCACATTAAGTATTTCATGTTTGCATTCTTTATGAAAATAAAAGTCATAACACGAAAAGTGATTTTTGAATTCTATTCAGTGGCATACGGTACCATTGGGAAAGCATTTCCCCCAGTAAAATAGGACATTTTAATTGGACATCTATAATTGCCATTCTGGTAAATTGAAGTTATAGCATGTTGGAAACAAGCTGAGAGATCCACTGCAACTGGAGCAGCCATATGTCACAGAGCTCAGGGTTTTAATCTGAGTGGCCACTGAGAGGAAGTAGCTAAACTTAGCTGGTTAGCCATGACTGAAACTCAAAATCTTACTTCCAACACAGATGCTACCTGTTGCTCTGTCCTGTCCAGGGGACAACTTCAGAGTGGTCTTGACAAGCTCATCTGCTTAGCTGTACTTGCAGCAGAGATGCCATAACGAGTGGCAGACAGCCTTGAAGTGACAGTTTTTACCAATACAAAGGCAGTTACTTTATTTTCTCTTGAAACATTCATCAAATGATGTTAGATGAGGAATGTATTTGTATAATCTAGTCTCTTCATGACAAACTGATTGCAAGAGAAAAGATTAAATTAATTGAAAAACATTGATTATGAGCAGGTCATTTAGTTCTTGCCTCAAGCACACCACTTCCTTATGAGCAAGGCATGGAAAGATGCTCTCAGTTCAGCTGTACCTCTTGTTCTCCCAGCTGCAGCCTAGCGAAGTAATCACAAAGGAAGGAAAATTAACCTTAGAAAATACAAAAGGATGAAAGGTTGGTGAATATCCTTCAGTTCCATTTAGGTCAGGCTGGCATTCAGCAACTACCTCTGTCCAATTAGGCAAATGGGGAGAATCTGCTTTTTGTCCCCATATCTTGTGCAACTTTATTGCAGAAACAGAAGTGGAAGATAACATTTTTATTTCAAAATACAGATATAATAAGATTCCATTTAGGGAAATGAGACTAGGTTTCTCTTTTTTTTGCTAGCATGTTATTTTTTTTGTTTGTCTTTGATCACTTTTTTCCCCCACCATCCAGAGAAGATCACATAGAAAATGCAATTAAGATTGACATGTATATGTTCTTTAAAATCTTGGACTCAATTTCTGAGATCTATATTTTATTGGTGCAGAAGGGACAAAAAGAGCAGGACTCCTTTCTGAATCTCCTGTGTGTTGAAAGGATTTATGAAATAGAGTCATAGGATGGTTTGGGTTGGAAAGAACTTTAAAGATCATCTACTTCCAACTTCCCTGACATGAGCAGGTGTACCTTCCACTAGACCAGGTTACTCAGAGCCCCATCCAACCTGGCCTTGAACATTTCAACGGATGGGGCATCACCACTTCTCTGGACAACTTGTTCTAGTATCTCACCACCCTCACAGGAAAGAATATCTTTATTTCCAAGCTAAATATATCCTCTTTCAGTTTAAAGTTATTCCCCCTGTTTGATCACTACATGTCCTTATAAAAAGTTCCTCTCCAGCTTTCTTGTAGCCCCTTGATGTACTTGAAGCACTGGAAGGGGCTGTAGTTCTCCCAGAACCTTCTCTTCTCCAGGCTGAACAGCCCCAATTTTATGAGCCTGCCATCAAAGGAGAGGTGCTCCATCCCTTTGATCATACTTGTAGCCCTCCTCTGGACTTATTCCAACAGGCACAAGTCCTTCTTATGCTTAGGGCCCTGGAACTGGATGAGTACTGGATGAGTAGGTGGGAACTCACTAGAATGGAGTAGAGGGGCAGAATCCCCTCCCCTGTCCTGCTGGTCACTCTGCTTTTGATGCAGCTGGGGACACAATTGGCTTTCCAGGCTACAAGTGCACATCATGGTGAGCTTCTCACTCACCAACATCCCCAAGTCCTTGTCTTCAGGGCTGCTATTAATACAGTTTCTTCCCAGCCTGTATTTGTGCTTGGAATTGCCCTGATGCAAGTGCAGCACCTTGTACTTTGATTTGTTGAACTTCATGAGGTTCACACAGGCCCACCTCTCAAGCCTGCCCAGGTCCCTCTGGATTTCTCCTCACAGAACAGAACATCTTCTTAAGATATTTGCAAAGCACTTGTCCCTATGGGATCAAAATTAAACATCAGAAAAGCAAAGGAAAAACTATTTTCTACTGTATGCTCCCAAAGAAAAAGAAGGACTAAGTAGAGCACCAGCTCCAAACTTCATTCTAGGTTTGAGCTCATTTCTAGCAAAAAGAACTATGAACAACCATCTTCCTTCCTCCCTTTCTTTAATGAACATTAAATCACCAAAGAAATCAAAGGACATTATTTGAGAAAGTAATGACTGTGTCCTGGTCTACCTAGCGTCATTATGATAAAAAGCATGGTAAAATCCTAATCTTAATTGAGTCAATGCAAAAATTAGCATTGATTTAAATATTTTTCTTTTCATGTGAAACACAGATTCAATATTCTCTTCAACACTGACACTTGACATAAGTACTCCATGACTACTGGCCAGCCAGCCAGAACTGTTAGTCAGAGGACCAGAACTCATGATGGTCAGGAGTTCACAGCCCTTCTGAAGTCTCAGTGACATGCTGGTGGTGGTTCCTGCCCTGTCAGTGCTGTGCCCACCTGTCCCGGTTCAGTTCTGCATCTTGTAGAGAGTGGTGACAAAGGCATCTCCCACCCCCCTCTTACTGAGACACAGCACTGACATGCCCTGCTCACTGAACAACGTGTCCTCAAACCTCATTCTGGTGTTCCCAATAATTCAAACCTACTAAAAATAGATGTAATTTTAAAGAGTAATTACACACTATTACGATCCTTTGAAACTGAGTAAGTATATCAAATTATAGCAAAAAAGGGCAAAGATAGAGAACTGTGAGCCCCTTCTTAATTTTACTGCTATGTTTTTGAGCTATAAATTTCCATATGCACTGGTTTCTGTACCCAATAGCAACTTATGGTATCAAATGGTATCATGGTTTCTTCTCCAGTCCCACTTCCATGCAAAAATGTCAGCCAGACACATCTTGGAAGCTGGCTGTTTGAAGACTAATACATGTTGTTTGATATTGTTAATGTATGATACCTGTGTTTCATGGTCCAAGCCAGTACTGACCTCATCCAGGAACATCTCCTGATTAAGGGCTACCCCACAGGAATTGACCCATGGCATTACTGAGGGGACTCTGAGAAGACCAGCTGATGCAGTACACATCACATAGACCTGCAGTGGTGCTTAGGTTCTCCCTCTTCCCCAGTTCATGTTGAACTGTATTTATGCTTTTCTGGTTTTTTAAAATAACTCTGCTGGTAGATCTTTTTCAGTTGCTTGGAATGAAGAAAGTCTTTGCTTAAAATTGCTGCATTGCAACATCGCTACTCCCAGCTATTAAACATCCCACGGCACGAAACACCGAGTCCACACAGGCCTACCTTAGCAAGTGTTCCAGTCAAGCACAACATGAGTCATCTTCTGAGCTTCAGCTGGATGATTTGTGAGGAATTTGCAGGTGTGTGTGTTTGTTTGGATTACAAGGAGACTATTTCAAGTGGAGACAGAATGTTTCATTCCTGCTCCTCAGTCTCATATGCACATTATATTTGTCACTCCTGTCAACAAACATTTGTAAACTAAAAATAATGAGTTAAATATATGCACTTTATTACACTGCTCTGGAAGCCATTTGTGCTTACAATTTGAATTTCAGCTCTTAGCTGTCTCATTTCTTTGGGAGACAGCACTCTCGCTGTGCCATTGGAAAGAAAGGTCTGTCCTTCTCCCCCCACCCATCTTGAGTTTACGCACCCTTACTTTTAAACTTCATATTCAGAGAAGAGCAACATCTTCTAAAATTCCAAAGAGTTTGTAGACAGCCTTGGGAAAACTGGCTTGGATCATTTTTCAGGGCAAATTTTTGAGACCACATTTTCCACCAGTGGAAGTTGCATGCAAGCAAATGACAGCCTAACTAGGACCCTGTCAGGTTAAACAAACATGCTCATCCTTTCCAGCACAGGCTTTCCGTTTGCTCTGTCTCTGTTTTGCTGGACAGCTCAGACTCTCCTGAAATAATTGTCTCATTAGGTATATGGGATACAATTTGTAAACTGCATTCTGTCATCTCACAAATAAATTATCCCCAAACAGCTACTGAACAGTGAGTGAGAACACAGTCCAGCACATCTATTTTGCATGATTCTTGAATGAGCAATATCTATATGTAATCATTGCCATTCAGGTAGGAAGGTCAAGGTCAAATCCTTTGCAGTGCCTGATCTCTTCCAAAGGCTGTGCAGAAGGGGTGCAATCATTATTCCACATCATCTAACAATGCATCCAAATATTTTTATGAAAATCAGATCAGATCTGATTATTTACATGATCTCCCCAATGGCCTTTCACAGGTGCATATGAGACAGGTAAAAAGAGAGGTGAAATGGGCAAAATAGGAAAAGTGTCTATAGAAAGCAAGGCAAAATTAAGAAGGAAAAAAAGAGAACTACGTGAATGTTAACTAAGGATTCAAAATGGGATAAATATGTAAAAATTCAAGCAAGAAAAAAGAAGTGAACAAGCACAGGATGCAAATATCATAAATTAAATAATTTTAGATGATTGTTATTATAGACAGCTGTCTTCTCTTCAGCAGATGCTCCAAGAATTTTGCTTCTGAAATTGTCTGACTGCAATTTAATTGTACTTCAAACATACAACAAAGTGTCACAAATGGAAATAGAATATACAATTATTTTCATTTTTCTTAATTAAAGCAAAATTGCATTTAATTTATACTCAGATAATCCCAGATATAAAAACACACAAGAACTTCATTAACAGAACAGAATGAGAATGAAGGAATTTAGTTATGATTTTGCTGAAATGGACAGTGCTAGCAAGTGGTTCACGGGTTGTAGCAGGAGTGCTGCATCTTTAATAAACGACAGCTGTGCAGTCTCAGGAGTCATACAGTAATGTATCATTTTCTTCTGAGACGCTGGCTCCACCTATCCAATTTTCTTAATGGTTATGATAAGCCATTAAGACCTTCCCCCCATCCAGTCCTGCTCATCAAAAAAATGTCACTGAGCTCCCATCACACACTACAACACGGCATGGGAAAATGTGTGGGCATCCTCTGCTCTTCTCTCATGGTGCCTAAGGCAGATGCACTCTGATTGTGTGACTTGTCACCAGCTCGGTGCATATGTCACTGTGGGGAGGAAAGGGTTAAAACCAGAAGATTTGACAAAAAGGAAGCGATAGCTTGTCTCAAACTGACTTTGCAGCTGAGAATGCTAAGAATGTCAGTGTGGGAAAACTCTATGTTTTGTGGCTAGTATTGTTCTTCCTCCGCCTGTTTTGAGAGGTGGAATTCCTGTGTGGAGATAACTCTCAGAGATACACTTGAGCTCTTGAGCTTCCTGCCGGGATGGGGGGTGGGAGGAGATAGAGAAGGGGAGAGATAGAGGGACAGAGAGAGAGAGAGAGAGAGGGATCCTGAAGGCACAGGCTTGTGATAAATTGATAAATTGCATGTGTGAGAAGCCCTTTTGGAGCAGGCAATACCTACCCCACTGCTCCACTGCTGCGTGCAAGGATGAACTGAGCCTAAGGGAGCCCGTGTCCTCACGTGTCTCTGCTGTCCAACACTGTTAGCCAGGTAATGAAAAAACCCCATCTTTGTATCTCAGCTGCAGTTTGGGGTCACCATGGTTACCTGGATGGGTTGATTCACACAGTCACACCGGCACCAGGTGCCCATTAAAATTAAACTCTCAAGGGAAAGTAATTTTAATTTGTTGTTTCTTTTTGCCTTAACTTGCCTTCTTAACACTTCTTTTTTGTTAGGACAGATCAATTTGGGATAGCACTAATGGGTTCTTGATTCTAGCTAGACCACTGCTGTTGAAGAAAGTGGTTTTTTTTGACAAACCAGAAGGCTAGGGTGAAGCTCCTGCTGCTTTGAGGGATGTGCCCATTGCAGAGCCATGGTCAAAGTGTTCTGGCTCTTACAAGTGCTGCCAACAAGAGCAATGTGCAGCTGCAGAGATGCTCGTGTGATGCTCTTCATTACAGCCCGTGCCCTAAAAGCCAAACTCCTGTTGCTGAATCTCTGCCATGGAGCTGCTAGGGGTAATGACAAGAAAAATTTTTCTTTGACTGATATCCTTCCACCTTCCTGAGATATTTCTGATCAAGGTAGTATGTAGGAGGAATAAGAGGAGAAAGCTCATGAAATCTTTTTGTACCAAGCACCACAAGAAAAACACTTGCAGAAGATAATTTCTTTCAGCAGAAGACACATAATCTAGAAATAATGATTTGTAGTGCAGACTGTGCACATAGTTATGCAGAAAGAAAGAAAATTTTACAAATGAAGGAATGAAACTCTACTACTGTGGGATTAATGGAAAACGCCAAGGAGACATTAACTCTGCCTGAAAGAGGTGGTAGACGCTTAGCATGCTGGAAAGCATTTCTATATTATTCTAAAGGAGCAGCAAAAAATACTGAAAAAGTAAGCAAAGGGAATTGAAGATTAACTTTGACATGCAATATTCATAGCCAGAGAAAATAGCTATTATTATTTATGTAGGAAAGATAGACAATATAGGATTCTTGTGGACATCCAGCAATTTGTCTAATAATGAGAACTAATTTCAATCTTGTTCTAATCATAGACAAATAAGCCCAAGTATTTCTAATACTCAGATGAAAAAAAATGAGCAAATAATAGAACAACCTATTTCACACACATACACCTCCTTCTGTATCCTTGTCTCCAAGGACTGAAAAGGTTTTGTTTTGTGACCCAGCAATCCAGCTGTATTTGGAGTTGTCCCTGGAGACAGCCTGAGCAGCCTGGGGTCACCCTAGGCCACCCCAGGCTGAGCACTTCATCCTGCCAGTCTCCTCTCATGCACTGTGGAGCCAGCAGGTTGGAGATCAGTGCTGGACAGGCACGGTTCAGCCAAGGAGTCTGGATCACAGAGAAGCAGCAGAAAGAAGATGTCTAGAATCTAGATTCCTGGTTCATTCTGTTTTAATGTCCATAGTCTTTTATTTGGAGTTAAAAATTGGCTGAAGCCATTTGCATTATTCCTGTTTGGTGTTGGTTTTTTGTTCTGTTTTTTTGGTTGGTTTTTTTTTGTTTGTTTGTTTGTTGGGTTTTGTGGTTTTGGTTTTTGTTTTTTTTTGTTGTTGTTGGGGTTTTTTTTGTTTGTTTGTTTTGGTTTTTTTTTTTTTTTTTTTTTAACATTAGTTTTTTCTTTTTGG